AAAAATTCTTTTTTTTTTTGTTGAAAGAAATTAATACTTTTATTCATTAAACTATTCAATTAAGCTGATCAAAAGTGACAGTAAAGACTTGTAATGGTTAGACTGGAGACTAAAAATCAGCTTTGACCAGATAATTAAATTACATTTTACAACATATTCACATAGAAAACAGTTATTTTCAAATGTAATAATATTTAACTGTTTTCAATGTATTTTTCATCAAATAAATGCAGTCTTTGGTGAGCAGAAGAGACTTTTCTGACTCTTAAAACATTAAAAAAGTCTTACCGACCCCAAAGTGTTAAGCAGCAGTGTAGATATAATGTAATTCAGCAGCAGTGTATGATGATGTTTGTGCTGATCTGGTGTGTCAGTGATGTGTTTCTCCTCACCTGCTCTGGATCAGCTCGTCTCCTCTCATCCAGTAGAAGGATGGGGTGGGATAGCCGGAGGCGGAACATTCTAGAACCGCATCTCTGCCCTGTAGAGCCATGACCTTCTGAGGCCTCTGGAGGAACGTCAGTGCTCGCGCTACTCCGGGCTCTGCACACACACACACACACTAGATTATACACATGCATCTGATTGTTTATTCTCGCCATCAGCACCATACACACACACACACACAGGTCAGCAAGCATCTCCTGAGGCGTGTATGTGTGTGTGTGTGTGCATGCATAATCTGAGCACTCCTGCACACACACACACACACACACACACACAGCGGTTGCTCGTCTAGTTGCATGTCTGTGACCTCTGAACGTTCAGCTCAAACGGTGCAGTGTTCATGTCCTGAAGCCTGCAGCATCGTTTCCTCCCAGAATGCTCTTCTTTAGCCGTCTCTCCCTCCAGAGACTCTTCCTAACGGCCCTGAGCCAAAGATCCAGCATCATGCGGACAGATAACAACCCAGACAGCTCTGGCCGGAGGGGATTCCAGCGTTTCTCTCGATTCTCTAGCCCTGCACCTGCTGTCTGAGAGCGACTGAGACGAGTAATAAACGCAGGACTCACACATCCAGACTTGGGAGTAAACTGTGATTCCTCAATCATCATCTTTGCTGGTCTGGGAGCAAAACTCTGACAAGCCATCATTCATTAATATTCATGAAATAAATAGAAGCCGAAACTTGAGATGGAGTTTTCTTCAAATGTCTTATTACACCGAATGTGTTGTTCATCTAGATGCTATAAATGTCACCAGTCTAACTAACGATCACAGCAGGGTTTCTGTTCCTCACGACAGAGAAACCAGCTCCTGAACAGCAACACTGAGATATGAATACAAATACAGCCTGTGTTTACATTCACATGTAGAGCGTGTTTCCAGCCCAAAAACCCTAAAAGGAATATTTTTTTGTGTTTGGGGAACAGATTTGTAGAAATGTAGCATTGCATCAGTGTCTCAGCAATGGATGCTCTGCAGTGAATGGGTGCTGTCAGAATGAGAGTCCAAACAGCTGATAAAAACATCACAATAATCCACAGCACTCCAGTCCATCAGTTAACATCTGGAGAAGACAAACGCTGAAACTAATCCAGCATTAAGACATTTTTAACTAAAATACGAGTTCATAATCCATAATAACGCTTCCTCCAGTGAAAAAGCGTTATTATGGATTATGGACTCAATGGTATTTGAGTTATAAATGTCTTAATGCTGGATGTGTTTCAGCTTTTGTCTTCTCCAGATGTTAACTGATGGACTGGAGTGCTGTGGATTACTTGTGGATTATTGTGATGTTTTTATCAGCTGTTTGGACTCTCATTCTGACGGCACCCATTCACTGCAGAGCATCCATTGCTGAGACACTGATGCAGTGCTACATTTCTACAAACCTGATGAAGAAACAAACTCATCCTAATCTCAGATGACCTGACCTGGCTGAACTGTTCCTTAAATGTCAATTTCTTGGCATTTCTCCTGATTTTGAATTCTGATTTGTGAGCTTGTTTCATGCAAGTGTTAGTTTAGAGTATAAACGAGATGCTGATGATGATTCGAGTGAAGGTCTCGAGTCATTAGCAGGACGCTGAGGTTTCTGGACTCAAACACGACTAACGAGTCCTTGATTCTCGTGCATCGATCAACAGAAATGTCAGAGCAGCAGAAATCATTCAGAATCCTCACAGAAAATGACAGACTGATATTTGAGCTCCGATACCTGCTGCTGGAAAACAAGCACTTCTCCCAGAAACGACAACACTAATAATGAGTGAGGAAGAACCCAGTGCATTCTGGGACACGATACACAGAGAAAGAGAGACTACTGACACACACACACACACACACACACACACACACACACACACACTCACACTAACACACACACTCACACTCACACTGACACGCACACGCACACGCACACACACTCACACTCACACTCACACTCACACTCACACTCACACTCACACTCACACTCACACTCACACACACTCACACTCACACTCACACACACACACTAAATGAGGAGATTCCATAGAATTCTATTGTATTTTTAATACTAACACTAACAGAAAACTTTCTGCATTTTTACCATTGAAAAAAAAAATCTTTTTTTTTTTTTGTAAATATCATTTTTTACAAACAAGTAGATCCCCCAAAGGACATTTTTCTGAGATTTTGTAAGGTTTAGCTCACGTCTGGGTACACATTTGTGGATTAACACGGTTATTTCATATTTAAATCATACCATTTCATATTTTTTTATATGTTTTTTTTTATTAATGGCCAAAGTAAATATATATTGAGTGTTTCATATATAGAATGACTTGAAATTGTTTAATAATTGACAAACTTTGCAAAAATGACACTGTTTTTGAACTGAACTGAATCAGCATTGATCTAAATAATGACTATTGTCTTCAGTAGAGCTGCTTTACAGATGAAATTTGAAATAATTTCATAATTCACCTTTATTTCTACAGCGCTTTATACAATACAGTTTGTTTCAAAGCAACTTTGCAGTAATAAACAGGAACATTTGTAAAAAAGTTGTAAAATGTATCAATTATGAAACAAATTTAAGCTTTAACAACAGAACAGAGTCATTATTCAGATCAATTCAGTTCGATTCAGATTCAGTTCAGTTTAGTTCAGTTCAAAAACATTATCAATGTTTCAAAGTTCATCAACTATGAACTGAAGAAAATGAACAAAAATACACATTAATCATGATTGTTTCATGTATAAAGTGTTTTTGAATTTTTGGCAAAAGTAAATATATCGTGAGTGTTACTTTTCAGATAAAATGACTCATGTCGTTTCATAATTGACAACATTGATCGACATTGAACTAAATTGATCTGAATCGTTATGTCGTTATGTTATAATCGTTAACGCTGCCATTTTCCTGTTTATCTCTGTGAATCTGCTTTGAATACATCCGTATTCAGTGAAGTGCTGTATGAATGAAGGTGGCCTGACTCTTAGTGGAGGTCAGGTGGGTCACTAGTTAGTGGAAGTCAGGCGGGTCACTAGTTAGTGGAGGTCAGGTGGGTCACTAGTTAGTGGAAGTCAGGTGGGTCACTAGTTAGTGGAGGTCAGGGGGGTCACTAGTTAGTTGAAGTCAGGTGGGTCACTAGTTAGTGGAGGTCAGGTGGGTCACTAGTTAGTGGAAGTCAGGCGGGTCACTAGTTAGTGG